AAAAACGAGAGCTAAGAGGGGAGCGGGAGAGAGAGAGAGAGAGAGAGAGAGAGAGAGAGAGAGAGAGAGAGAGATTGAGATAGAGAGCCCAGCGATTGTGTAGCTTGACGATTTTTCAACAAACGAGCATTAAAATTCCATGCGTGAGGCGCGGCAGGACGCTTTAAATTTCATCAATTCCATCGGCACTTTAGTTACACCTAAAGTCCGCGCCCTCCGAAATTAAGGCCGAGATTAAAGTTCGAGAGCTTTTAAAACTCGCCGCGGCCGGATTAACGATTATCCGTCCGATTATCCCGGGTCTGAGTAAGGTGCAGTCGCTACAATTGGCCCAGGAAGTGCATCGAATTACCTAGAGTCCAAGGAGGCCAGATCGATCGACGTGCCATCCTTGAGCCAGTAGACGTCGGGCTTTGGGTTGCCGTTGGCCGCACACTCCAATGTAATCGTCGACTTCTCCGTCGCCACCTGATTGAAGGGCTTCGCCACAAAGACTGGAGCGGTCTCCTCGACTTCTTCTGGAGTAATGTAATGATAATAAAAACAACAACAACAACAACGACAAAAACAAAAACAAAAACAACAACAAAAACAATAAAATAACAAACAAAAAAAAGAATAAAATAAAATAAAATACAAAAATCTAAAATAAAGGAATAAAGGAACGGATGAGAGGACGCGCGAACGCCGTTTGAAATGCTCGCGAGGGGCGTGATAGCGGATTGGGAGAGGCGGGGGTAGAACAAGGAATTGACTTAAGGAGCCAAGGCGCACTTTTACTTAAATCGACGACTGGGCCTTTTCATATAATTTCTCGTCATTCGTCTTATGCCACACAAACGGAGATATTCGCTTCTGCCCTCTATTTATTATATTAATTGAACATCCGAGAATCGTTGGACGCCCAATCAAGTAATAACCCGTTTCGGCAAACTTTGTACTTTTGCCTCATTTTCACTGTCCTGCTTAATGAAATAGTCAAATCGCTCTCGAGCATAAATCTCATTGGTCGACGAGTGGCTCCTTCGACCGCGCGCCCCCAATTACCAAATAAAATTTAATCAATCTCCAAGGACAGCGTGCGTGCACTAATGAGCAAACGCGTCTCCTCATTTTGGCCTCGCGAACCCAACAACGGGACGTTAAAGCGAGGTAAACTTTTTAAAACCGTCCGATCCATCAATTTAAATATGAATTTGTTCGTTCGTTCGTTCGTTCGTTCGTTTGCTATTTGTTTTGTTTGTTTGTTTTTTTTTTTATAAATTTAAGCCCGAGTAACTTTACTGCAAAGATAGTGAATGCGCGCACTTCCAAATGAAAAGAGACAGCTGGAGAAACCAGGCGGTGAATGTCAAAACGCACGGAAGAATTGAAATTAAACGATGATAAATGAAATAGCGCTATTTGGCTTTACGGAGTAAGCGAGAGAGATTTTAATCCCGATGAAATTGGAAATTATTAATCTGTAATTATTTATCTGTAAACGAAACATCATGGCCGATCCGTAATGCTTGACAAAAAAAAAAAAAAAAAAAAAAAAAAAAAAAAAAAAAAAAAAAAAAAAAAAAAAAAAAAAAAAAACCGGACTCGCGCATCTAACGCAAATAACGGATAATTATATATATATAGTCGGTGAATGCGCAACCACCGACCTACCGACTGGAATTACGTAATTAATACGATAGCGTATGCGTGCGGCTCGTATAATTGCAATCGCGTAGCCGAGCTTTTCATCATTTCATCATTCCACCGACGACCTTCATACGGCTATAAAATCGAGAAAATTTTCCTATTATTGTGGGCGCACTTTTAATCGCCTCGTGTTAAGCTAAGCGCAGTTGGAAAAGTGGCTTATGCGCTCTCCCCACCACCCCGCAGAATATTAAAGGACGGTGATAAAGGATAGCTGTAAGGATTAGCTATCTAATGAGATTCAAGGTCGGGAGAAGATTCTTACCGAGATCGCTGGCCTGCAGTGAAAGCTGAGCCTGATTGCTGAGTCTGAACTGGCCGAATCCGCTAACGTTGCATCTGTAAGAGCCGACGTCTTGGGCCAGCACCTCGTCAACCTCGAGAGCTCCTGCGCAGACGGGGTCGAGTCAGCATGGTATTTCTCATTACTTTGTCCGCCATTATAACGAGGTGGATTGTTGGCGAGGAGTAAATTTCGTGGGTAAAAAACGGTGACGAGCTCGCGTCCGAGATTGGCTCGACAAGTTAATCGGAATCGACTCCGAAACGAATCCTCGCGTCTTTTCTCTCACTCTCTTTTTTTTTCTTTTTCTTTTTTTTAAAGCGAAGCAATGGTAAGTGCCTCGAGGCTAAGCTCATTACGTAATTTGCGTTAGGACCGCCTTGTCGGTCGGATGGAAATAGGGCGTTTCCGGGTCACGATATTAGCGACTCGTATGCCACTTAGACAATCATCGTCCCGGTACATCGGACCTCTACACGTCCTCCTCCCTACATCGCCCCTCGCGATCGATTTCCATTCTGAAATTGTCTTACACGCTCGTTACGTAAGGGAATATAATTAGCGCGCAGGGATATTGGGCAATTAGCGCGCAATCATAAAGTCGAATGGTTACCAAATTTCGAAATTCACTCCTCTCATTAATTATCGATGAGCGTTAAGTAATGTCCCCAGTTTTTTTTCCTTCTTTTTTTTTTGTTTTGTTTTATTTTTTTTTTTTTTTTTTTGGGTTTTATTATTATTATTATTACTATTTCATTAATTTTTTGTTAAGTTTTAAATTTTGACAATACCGCCCCTGCAAAATGCCAACGAGTGCTCGTAACTCCTGTTAATGCAAATAGCTACGAACGTGTCTCCCGGGTATAATGAAACAATTAAGCGGAAACGTCAATTAGGGATACAAGAGTCGGCTCATCGAACCTTGCCACGTTATAGCCGAGTGTCATTGTTTACCTGATGGTAGGATCGTCATTCTGCTTTCGTCCATCGTAAGTGGCTGCTCGTCTTTGAGCCACTGTATAGTCACCTGGTCGTTGCCGGCTAATTTGCAGCTCAAGTGGGCTATTTGCCCGGGATAGACCATTGTATCTTGTGGCTCGCGATCGAAGCTCGGCAGACCTTCAATGGGGTTGGGGGGAAGAACAAAAAAAAAAAAAGAATATTTTGTTAAATGTAACTCGGCCAGCCGTTGCGAAACGAGCAGCCGCGTTTAAGAGCGTTTGCCCGTACTTCTTCCTCTCCCGTCCCCTCCCGATCCCTCCCGTCTCCTCCCGTCCCGATCAATTTTCTACTTCTATCGTCATCGCGACTGTCACGATTGCGCTCGTGTTTTTTAAAAAGGAAAATCGTCCGGGAGTCGCGCGTCCATCTATCGACGGGCTTTTCCCAAGCGCTTAGCTCGGGACACGAGCCGTGTCTTCGTTATGTTTGAGCCCCCCCTCCCCCCCCCCCCCCCCCCCCCCCCCCCCCCGCCACTACCTCCAATCGTAAATCACAATACTTTCCTTTGCCCCATTAGGCTTCTTTATATCGATGCGATGTAGGAAGCCCGCATGACTTGATTAAATTCTACTTTTCTACTTACACGTACGAAATTAATTATAGAGATTAATTATGGCTACTAGGGCAGGTTTCGAATTACCAAAATAGTTACGAATACAAGACGGTCATGAATCATTGGCGCTTTGCGGAATTCCGTTTTAATTTGGTGAGAAACATAAAACTCTCGACGGGGAAATATAATACAGAGGGAGATATATCGCCGACATGACTCGGCATATAAGAATCATTTACAATGTATTATTTTTCAACGTCCATTGAATTATTATCGCACTGCTCGTCGTGCGCGCAAATGTAAAATTACACGTGTTTCCCGGCATTTGAAAGTACGGCGAGCCGATGCGCCAATACCGACGGGCATCTCGTCAGAGGGAAAAGGAGACGGGCTCAGGAGAAGTTTACTCCTAGCGATTACGTGAGAACTGTGATAATTTATGTGGAATCCGTTTGCTAAAATACTGACTGGCGAGCTTCACGACCGCAGTCCTGGAGGCGATCGCACCGACGTTCTCGATGAAGGCGAGGCACTGGTAGCTGCCGACCGACTCCTCGTTCACGTTGCTAATGTACAGCGAGCCGTTCTCCAGCTGACTTCTACATTAATTACAACAAACAGACCGAAAAATAATATTATTTGTTATAATAATAATAATAATAATAAGAAGAAGAAGAAGAAGAGAGAGAGACTCTGTGTGTGTGTGTGTGCGTGTGTGTGTGTGCGCGCGCGCGCGCGCGCGCGCGATAGTTATAGGGTGGTGGGAGAGTCATTCTGAGAATCCACGAATGTCTGTTTAGTTGTAATCTAGTGGTTATGGAACTTTCCTTTCCACGCTTTTTGCCTCGATTCTAATGCGCGCGGCTCTACTTTCTTCAACCAACGTATTATATCTCTTATCAACAAAGGCTGAACGCGCACGGTATCGTGGAAAAAGGCCCGAGTAAATAAGTTTGTAAACGTAGCGTCTAGGTTACCTTAGGTACATATCTTTTCAATCGTGCTCGACGATTGATTGAGTTAATGTGAAAATTGTTGAATACCTTTCATTAATCAGATGTAATAACAACGCGTTACTACATACTCGCGCATCTCGGTATTTTATTATAATTACGACATGGACGAATTATAGTTCAAATTAATCAATATCAATAATTATTATACTTCTTATCCACTTTTGCACCTACTAATACCGGAATCTTGAAGCACACGTTCAAGCATCTTATCCATATCGTCATCATAATCATCATAATCATAATCATCATCGTCATCATAATTGTTGTTGTTATCGTTGTATATACTATAATTAATGATGCTGTTATTATTGTCACCGAGGCTCTTATATTTTATTATTTTTATTGTTGTCGTTGTTATTGTGCAAATGTTTAATCGGGAAAGTGCAAATTTCCGAAATAAATAATCGATTGAATTGCAAATAACGTATAAATATTCTATATTCACAGTTATGCGATTAAAATTCAAATGTAAATAAATGCCAATATTATTTTCAATTAAAAACTGAGTCCGAGTGCAACAATCTTTAGAGACAAAGCGATCTTGTTTGTTACCGCGATTAAAGAAATTCAATTAGCTATGATGAGTTTTCCATTAGCTTTAAGTGAAATCAATTACAAACTAATAAGACTTTAACAACAGCTGTTGAAATTTCTGTCACTGCAATAATAGCTGGCCAATTATCAGCAGAGTAAAGTAACGAACGACTAAACACTCGTGCGTGAAAGACATTATAAAATTCTCAGGAACCGTTTATTTGTAAATACTTAAAAGCACGCGAGAGCTCCGATTCTTTCAAGCTTTAGGCCATACTAAATGCGCATAGAATAAAATAGAATCGAAAGCGAATAAGCGGTGAGCCGCCAATAATTTACATGATATTTACAGGCCTGCAATTGTAACGTTTCAACTTATCGAGTGGCCAGATACCGCAATGATACCACCAATTCACTAAGCCAATTACATTCCGACCCACACTCGTATAAGTATATTTATATTAATATACACGGATAGTGGGTATACACAGATAGTGAATTCGTATCCCCTTGATTCCCGGAAGTGTGGCCCTTTGGAGACCGCAACGACGATAGTGTATTAAATTCTCTTGGTTTTCAATTCTCGACGGAGCCGAGGGATGGCGATGAAAGAAGGGTGAGCAAGAAAGTGGAAGTCGAGCGCTTGGAAAAGTGTATCTAAACGATCCCCGCAACCGTCTAAGATAGCCGACGGCGCGCATTTATCGCGTAGAAGGGCATTAAGAGATTTCCAGCGGGCATACATCAACCATCGAACGCAGTTACGAAGATAAGCAGATAAGCAGCGATAAGAGGCCACGGGGGAGCGAGGTGGGGGTAAAGAGGACGTGGAATCGCGATGTAATTTCCCGACGTCGGCACTTGTCGCTATGCGAAAAGCTCCTGTGTCGTCGACGCTTTTACTTTTACGACATCTCCCGATGCTAACAAAATGATATTGAATCGAGGAGGAGGAGGAGGGGAGGGATATATAACTTTATTTCCATTCCCTCCTGACAATGGGGCTGCTTTACACACTCTTGCACGCGTCTCTGTATCACGAGTTTCGTCAATTTACTTCAGTGTTATTTCATGTTGACGTTATACTGGCTTCCGTCCCTATCATCCCATTATCCCGTCGTTATACTTTGCATAATTGGAAGAAATGGCTAATAAATACGAATGCCCTTTGTATTGAATATCGCTAACTCGATGATAATTAATAGCTTAAATGATAGCTTAAAAAAGTAATGATTTCTTTCATTTTTCGTCATTGCAGAAACGTTAGCGATTAGTCAAATTCCGTTCGAATCGTTCGTCTGCATTATTCCGTCTGTAAATAAGTTTTTGTATTTGTTACCGACGAGCGAATAGAGTTGCCGCATGTCGACGAGACATGATTATTCATAATAATTATATTTGCTGCCTTATGCGCTCATTTACGGGCCCCGTCACATTGTAATCTGATAAATCACCTAAGTGAGTAGGTAAATGGGCAGGAAAGCAAGCAAGTAAGTGTGAATCGGTGTCGCAAGGAAATGACCATTAAAAGAAATGGCCCCTCGGACAATTAGCATGGCATTATTATTGCTGTTGTAGTAGTGGTAGTAGTAATAGTAATAGTAATAGTAATAGTAGTAGTAGTAGTAGTAGCAGTTGTTGTTTTTGTTGTTATTATTATAATCATCATTTTCATGCGGCGACGCATTTAAAGCAAAATTGGCCTTGGGATCTCCTGCTACTTTCATAATGACTAATAAGGAGCCGCTTGAAGCCGTCAAAAAGTAAAGTGATTGCCGTCGTGAGCCGAAAGGAGGATCCGCCAAGTGCTGCCGAGCGTCCGCAGGGTAGAGCCCGGATTATCGACACCAAGCCGCTCGATCAACAGCATCCCCGAGACCGAGTTGAGTAAGATCATTCCGCGCATAGCCAGAGGGCCGTGTGCGGTCGCAATGGAAAGAGGAGAGGATTCGGCCAGTGTCCCACTTACCTGAACTTGTCGCCGATAAAGCTGATGGGCTGGCCGTCGTCGGAGCGCCAGCTAATCGCGGGCAGCTCTTGAAGGAGGCCACCGGGTGACGCCTCCAGCCGCGCCTGGCAGTCGAGGCGCCCGGGCTTGCCCAGCTCCACCAGGACGTCCTCGGGCTCGCGACTGAACTGCAGAGCAGCCGCTCCTCGAGCTGAAATCCAAATTCGATAACACGTTAGGTTATTATCTAATATATCTAGCAGCTTTCACGTTATGGCCGGACTTATGTTTAACCGACCACCGTTGCCTTGAGGTTTTTTTTTTCAGGTCGATTTGCAAACTACAATTGCCCGTCAGTATTTTACGTGTCTCGTATCAAGTTGCGACTCTAATAGAGCAGCCGCTACCATTTGTCAAATTTAATACTTCCTTCGATAAAATAAACGTAGAAGTTTGCTCGTAAAATAGAAATTAAGGAAATGGCATTAAAGTGGATCTGCGCTTTCATTTTATAGGCAAGATGGGGACGGGCATACATGTCCTTGTCCCAACAAAACACACACGCGCACGCATACGCATACGCACGTACGCACGCACGCACGCACGCACGCACGCATACGCACACACACGCACTAAACACACGCGCGCACACTCACACTCACACACGATATATATCTTCCTGTTTACATTGGGGTTGCAAACACTTGCTTTTCGAACATTTCTCTTTGTAATTTAGCATCGACGGATATCGAATTATAATCAAGTTACTCCTATGATATCGAAACTTTCAATGTCATTGATTTTAATGCAATCCACTCACTTTTAAACATACATTCCATACAATATCATGATTATAGGAAACAGAAATATTTTACAATTTACAATCATCCACTAACAAATATTTGATTAACTCTGCTCTAGTCAGAGTTTAGATGAAAGCTCTGGCTAAATAACGTTTTTAGTGTTTTTTTTTTTTTGGAGCGCAAGCGCGCGCGAAAGGTGTTCGGCAATATTGTAGAGAATCGAGAAGGTCAAACAAATCTTTGATTTACGAGATTCGAAACACCTTTCACAATGCGCGTGGGATCGAATGAAAAGCCGATAAACGTAAATGTCATTTGGATTGCGTGATGGAAGTGGAGGTGACGCGGGCGAATCCATTAAGACACATTCGCCCCGAGCTAAGCTCGATAGGTGATACTCCTCTTCCAATATCAAGCACTGCTAAAGCAATCGATCTTCCAACGCCGACAAAGGATCGAGCGAGGCACGACAAGCGCCGCACAAAAGATCCTTAGTCAAATTAAATAGGAATGAGAAAATCAGCCGGTTAAAAGAGGTTCTGTTAAAGGCCGAATTAATCTATTGGAATGAGGTGCGAATTACAGGTCGAAGGTGGATCGATCGCATAACGGACAAGACGCGTGCCTTACTCTGCCTCGCATTCCTATTTCCATTAATTCCCCATTTCCTTTCCTCCACCGTTAAGCGCACGCATTACGCGGGCACGAATTAATATTAATTTCCCGCAATAATGGCGAGAGGGCGATTGGCACGGAGGCGCGAGTCTGTGATTTTCGCGAGATGCGCTCGACATTGGCGTCCGCACGCACGCGGACGCACTTCACTTCGCACCGCGGGGCTCCTCGAGACCGCTCGATGAAATTCATGGGGAGGATCGATTCTCGAGAGGGACCGTTTAATTGCGATTTTCTACGGCTCCGCGCCTCAAAGCCAAACCCGTTAACGGCTGCTCGTGACACGACGACAATGGAGCTCCAAACGCCATGCATCGAGTTACTTTCGGTGAGCTCTTCACTTTGATTTTCTAGTGCTTGCACTAGCAGAGGCTCTTTTTTCTCTCGACAAAGGATTATTCCCGTTGCTCGATAGCTGCCGTCGGCTCGGCGTCGGTTTATTTTCCAGCGTCGGCGAGCGGAGCGCGTTAATGCTTTTCCCAACGCTTGGAAATGTAACGAGTGACGATTGACTTCCAATGACTGACAGCCTGTATTATTTTGACAAAGCTAAGATTGATGGGATGGGGGACTGGTAGACGCGAGGGGGGGATGCGCATATATAGAAGCCTAGGATTTTACAACTCAAGATTTCAAGTGGACTTTTTCAGTTGATATTTCATGATATATGTGTATAATAACGGCAATGAACTAAGAAAAAAAAAACAAAACAAAAAAAAAACAATACTATTCCGTAATGTCAACTATCTATGATAATATAGAAGGGAGTGAACGGAAAAAGTAAAAATAATAATGCATGAAAATGTCATTATCACCTATAATAACGAAACCATAACTCATATTTTCCGGTTCATTGGTAATGTCATTTCTTACTTGTCGATGTGAATTTCGGCTCTCGATAACATATGAAACAATAATTTTTAATTATCGTACTTGATTGCATAGATTATAATTTATTTCAATTTCATTTCAATTGAAAATACATGAAAAACGAAATAAAACAAAAAGAAGATGAAAAAAGAAAAGAGAACAAATTAAAAAATAATGCCTGTGTTATTGTGATACAGCAATAGATAATTATCGTGATATCGCAGTAATTATTATAATTTTGAAAATAGTTATTATTAACAGTGCAACTTTCGTAATTCCTTGGGATTGCACACTGCATAGATGGTTATGAAAAAGACTTAATACGGTGTCTCTACAAAAGTCTTTCGTAATTTTTTTTATAACAACTACAATACTTACGAATTATACCGCCTGCGTACACCACCACCACCACTACCACCCCCCCCCCCCCTACCCCCGCACACACGGAGACAGAGGCACTTTCTATTTTAATAATTACTATAGCGCATGTATAATATTTTTAGTGATACGAGATTTTATTGGTTTTGTAAACTGTTGGCTTGAATCGATGTTAATATTTGCAAATCTAATTTTCATTTATAACTATTTAATTCGCAAAAAGTGCAAATTATTTTAATACTAGCGATTAAATTTGCAAAAATATCATACAAAATGCCTCACACGTATATATTTTACGTAGCCAATTCCAAAGTAACTGTACAGAATGCTTACAATTACCACATACATTATACATAACATAATAAGATAGTGAGCCTTTAAGTACGAACACTACAATTTTGTTATCTTTCTGTAATATAACGTTGTCGGCTAAATTACCTCAATTCATACCAATTATTTACTACGACATGTATAACAATATATAGCTGCTGGTACATACAACTCCCTCCCCATTAATATTTAAATGATTAGCTTATTCTTCCTCTAGTTTTCCTCTACTTTTGCGGTAGATAAATTTTGAACAAATTAAAACTCATTGTCCAAGTTTGAAATCAATAGGAAGATTAGTAATTTTACGAATCGACGATACATCCATCTACCTCCTCCCCCTGCCCCTCCCCCTATCCCTACCCCTACCCCTACCCCTCCTTCACCTACCCACTTTTCCACCCGTAGTACAGCTGTACAACTGCAATATTAGACGCATTTATTCAAAGTTATTTGAGTACGAGAGCATTTTACATGGACATAAAAATGAAAGGGCCGATCTGATGACTCACGTATTAGAAGCATAAGGCGTGCGCAAGAGAAGCGAAGGAAAAAAGAAAATTGTCTGCCCCCAAAGGCAACGACGGGGTGCGTAAGGATCGGTCGTAGCGCGGTTTACACTTGTATCGCTGTCCCTTTATAAATATTCCAATTAAAGTTACGTAGCTGGGGTCTGGGGTAGAGGAGGGGGAGGGGGGAGGGATGGGGAGGGAGTCAGTAGTACGTCGTGGCGGCTTATTGAAGGACGGAGACGTGCACCGCGCGCGTTATAAATCGAGCGAGAAAAATCCCCAAGAGCCATACGAAGAGGGTGCGCACGGATGCGTGCAAGTGCGCTAAAGAAAATGGGCTTGCAAAAGTCGAGAGAGAGAGAGAGAGAGAGAGAGAGAGAGAGAGAGAGAGCAAGAGACCACTGGCGCGCGAGCTTCCACGCTGAAAGCATAAGGCAATCATAGCGATAGCTGACGATAATCCCTTGTTTAATGGTATTCTGAGGTGGGAAGGGTGGGGTGGGATGTGGGGAGGCAGGCACGATCGAGTCACGAGGAAAGTATGTGCATCAGCTCCCTGGACGATATGTGTGCCGGCCGACTCACCCTAGCACTCGACTTTGCATTTATATCGTCACGTACACTCGCCTGCCTTACCCTACGACCAATAATGCACGATACGTCGTCTCCCAAGTAATATATCGCCCCCCCCCCAAACTCTCACTCACTCTCAATCTCTCACTCACTCTCTCTCTCTAACGTTCAATCTTTTTTATCCCATTCTTGCAGACAATTATTATGTGATATTGTTCTACGAGCTCTTGGATTTCGCGTTAAAATTTCTCTCTCTTGCACGTACGGTATTGTCCTTTCTTCTCTTTATTTATTCTGCGTTTTTAATCAGAAAATTCAGACGCCCGGCTTATAACCGACTCCCAGATAATTTTGAGCGCAATAGAATTATTTTATACTCGATATCAGCCCACAAATATAAATAAATATCCAGTTTAAATAAAATTGAAAATTATCCGATGAATATTTTCATTAGGCTCGATATTACTTTTATTACTTCGATCGTCGTAAAAGTGGCAATTTCAGTTCACAGCAGTTTCAGCAAAGCATTCTTGTCTTTCTTTTTATCTTTTTCTTTCCTTTTCCCCATAATCTTATTATTTTCATTATTGTTTATTGTCGTCGCTTGATCGGCACTTAAAAACTAAAATGTTAACTATCAAAATACAAGAACGTCGTTCACCTCCATTTCATGCCGAGTCAACAACATTTACTTAGTCCTCGCTAATCTAATCTCTCATTTACATTTTAATTAAATCTTATTTTTTACCATTATCACTGAACTTTTTACGATTTTCTTTTTACCACGCATTTGCATATCATGACTATATAATTTTTAAATATCAACGCACCGGAAAATTTAATTACCTTTACAATATTCAGTTAGATATGGCATTTCGTTACTAAACGATTTGTACGTAATTGTCCCCATTACATAGTTTTTTGTTTATTGAAATAAACTTGTACATATTCTTTTAACGTAGGCTCGCAACAATAAATAATTCGAAATAACGTACAATTATTCATTTGATAATTAAAAAAGCACACACACACACACACACACACACACACTTAGCCAATAATTAAATAAGCAT